CCCATCTGAGCAAGAGCCTGTGCTTTGTTCCCAGCCGAGGCTGAAAACCAGTTAGGCATCTTCGTGGAGGCCCCACAGACAGACAGGTGTGCCTGCAACCTCAGCCAGGTGTCCAGAGAGGGAAACAGCCCGCTGCAGGGCTGGGAGGTCATCTGCCCTACAGGAGCCACAGGCACAGCCTAGGACGCAGGTCTAGGGAGCAGCGGGGAGAGCGCTGTGGGCCTCAAGACACAACAAAGGTGCCTGGGGCCACATGAGAAAATTGCAGTGTCACACCCCAGGTAGCACTCGGACATCAACCACACAGACCATCTCTAACCCCATTTCCTAGAAAGGGTAAGGGATAGTCCCAAGACGCCTGAGCAGCAGGCAGCACTTGTTACCTTCCATTGCCAGATCTAGGCAGTGGGGATAACACAGCTCCCTCTCCTGGGGGAAAACATTTTTCCTGCTTCCCAGTCTGCTTGGGCCTACGTGGTGAGGCTGTTATTGGAGCATCGCCCTCAAAGCCCTGCAGGAAAAGGGGATGGGGCTAGATGGGGTGCCCCTGGAGGTCTCCTCCAGACCCAGGGACTTATATCCCAAGCCTCTGCCTGGGCCCTGGAACTTGACCCAAAGCTCTTTGTGTCTCGCTTCTTTGAAAAGAAGCGACCAGGCCAGGCTGTGTGGGGCAGGCCTGAAGTAAGAGGCGGTGTTTGAGCCCTGCTCTGGCTGCCATCAGCTGCCCACTGAGTGCCTTTGGAAGCCCCAGCCTCCCAGGGCCTAGGACCAGCTTGCATGGAGCCTGAGTGGGCATGGTCCCAAGGAGGTTCCTGGTGGGTGGCTAGAAGAGGTGGCCTAAGCCAAAAGGGTTAGGATTGGGTACCAGCTTTGGGACTTAGGCATGGACACAGGTTCTGGAGAAATCCAGGACCCAGCTTCTTGGATAAGACCTGCTGTCTACTCGGGTCCACCCCCGGACAGTCAGATCTACAGCTGGGGTCCTTGTGCAGCACCCTCCTCCAAGTGTATGCCTGGATGCTGTTGGCTCCCCAGTTCATTCACTCTAGAGTCCAGTCCTGTTCCCAGAAGCAAAGGCTTTGAGATCATCCCATTCATTCATTCATTGATTTTTTTTTTTCTTTTATTCTGAGCCTGGGTGAGACCTAGTGGGACCACAGTATTTGTCTGAAGGGGTTCTGCCTTGGTTGCATAAAATGACCCCAGAAGGTACTCCAGTCCGGACTACATAGATCTGATCCATATTCCCCAAAATAGACCTGGCTTATCCTCCTTGGGCCTTTCTGCCCCCAGGAGTCTGCCAGGAACTTATGTCTGGTCATCTGATTTATAATAGGAACCAGCTCCATCCCCTCCCCTAGGACTGGGGCCAAGGTGGTCAGGCTGTGGGGGCCTTAGAAAAATAAACTCAGTGCAGCCAGGTCCTGGCAACCCTGACCTGCCCTGCCCATCACTAGACAGGCCAGCTCCATGCCCTGGACCAACTGGCGTGGGTGCAGCTGCCCTCAGCCGGAAAACCACTCCTGAAATAACTCTGTCTGAGGTGAACGCCCCAGGGCAGGGTCTGTGCCCTCTCATGGGCTCCCGCCCTAGCCAGGGAGAGCCCAGGGATGTCCTGGGAGGCTGAGGAGGACACGCAGAGCCACGTCCTCTCATGACTGAAGCAGCTTTGGCCCAGCTCTCAGTGGCATGGGGAGGAGAAGCTAAGTTGCACACCCAGAGGCCTGGATTGGAAGTGCTGGATGGCCCCCAGGAAGCTATGGCTTAAGTCATGGTGCAGACCTCTGCCTTACCCTCCAGTGACTCTCAGTCTAGTCAGAAAGACCCTCAAGACCAGGACTGGTGACATAATTTAGCCAGGGGCCCTTCCAAGCATGGGGGCCTGTGCGGCTCCATGAAGCCAGCCCTGCTTAGGAAAGCCACCTTGGTCATCACAGGGGTCTTGTCAAGATGCTGAGCCTCCTGCCAGAGTTTGGTGGGTGAGACACATGTGGGTGGATGGGGGCGGGCCTGAAGGCAGGTGGGTGCCATTCCTGGGGTGTCTGAACCCCAGCCCCAGCCAAGCCTGCTCTGTCCTCCCTACAGTCATCACCCTGTGCTGTGTCTTCAACTGTCGTGTGCCACGGACCCGGAAGGAGATCGAAGCCCGGTACCTGCAGCGAAAGGCAGCCAAGATGTACACAGACAAGCTGGAGACTGTGCCACCCCTCAATGAGCTCACAGAAGTCCCAGGAGGTGAGCTGGCCCTGGCTCGAGCCCTGCTATGCCAGCCAGTTCCTCAGTCCTGCTGCCTGGAGTCACCCTGTTCCTCCGCTCCAACCACAGCAGGTTCAGGGAGGGGCCCCAACCTTGCCCCTGGAGACCAGAGCACAGAAATTGGTTGGCATGAGGCAAATAGAACGATGAGCCTATTCCCCGGTAGGAAGAAGGAAGGAAAAGGCAGGATGTAGGAGGTTCTGGGGCCCTTCCCCTCGGGACAGTCAGACCCCAGGACCTTGTCTCACCACCATCACATGGTCTCTTTCCCCTGCCCCACAGAGGATAAGAAGAAGAAGAAGAAGAAGGACAGTGTGGACACAGTGGCCATCAAGGTAGAGGAGGATGAGAAGAATGAGGCCAAGAAGAAGAAAGGAGAGAAATGAAGACATCCTGGACAGCTTGGGCAGCAGGCCCTGGAGCTCAAGCCGTGGCCAGGGTCCAGGAATGTTGGACTCTGAGCTCATTTGGGGACCACAGAGGCTGTGGTCATAGAGGGAAGCTGAGGCCCATGGCTACATCTTCATGGCCCCTCAGGGGCAGGAACCAGACAATCTAGTAGGTGTCCTGTCCCCCAGCCCAGACTTGGCTCCTTTCGCCCCATCCACATGGGTACTGCCTCGGCAGAGGTGGTATGGTGCCACTGTCCCTCTGGAGATACACTGCTCTCCCCACCCAGACCTGCCTCTCTCCCACCCTTTCTGCCAGGGATGGCGGTGGCTGTGAAGGAGTAACAGGATAAGGGGTTACTTTAGCTACCCTTTCTGGCACGAAATGGCTGAAGTGCATGGGTCAGGGTGTGAGGCCACACCCAGACTGGCCATGAGGAGGCAGAGAGGGTCACTGGGGGACATTGTGGCAGCAGGAGGGACTCTGTCTGGCCAGGACAGCTCAAGGGAGTGAGTAGAGGTGGCTTGAGAAATGGAACCCCCAGCCCAGCAGACACCAAGCTCAAGGCAATGGGAGACCGTCATTTCACACGTTGTGATGAAGCTGAGGCTGCTGCCAGGCCCGGCATGAGGCCCAGAGGCTCGAGCTCGGGGCTGTGGGCTGCAGGGCTGGGTCAGGGGTACACAGAGCTAAGGTCGGTGGGCTAGAGGGTGCAGGAAAGAAAGCTGGGGTCTGGGCCCCTCCTGGGAATCAGAGTATATTTAAGAAGCCAAGGGGGACCTCGGGCTGTTCTGGCGGCCCCTTCTATGCCCAGCTGTTCTGGGAGGTCCCAGGGCCCTGGGAGATCACAGCAGCGCCTTCCACCTGCTGACCATAACAGTGCCAGCTTCTTTGCAGCTTCCTCTTCTACTATTTCCCACTACGGGCACCTAAAAGAAGCATCTCTGACCAGAAGACAAAGGCCCAAATAGCACCTGGGGGAGGGAAGATGCACAGAGGTGCTTCCAGATGGCATCGAACAGACTAAGGCTCTGAAACCTAGGCCTGAACACTAAGGTCTCGAGACACCAGAGGTTCCTGAGCCAGGAGAGCCTGCTGGAAAAGCAGCCTGCAGAGATCTGTGAATAAAGCTGAGTGCCTTCTCAGAGCCAGGCCTAGAAAACGGCCTCCTGAGATGACCCCTCAGGATGCGCTATTCCTGGGGCATTTATGTGGAGGGTGATGAGCAGTCAATGATAGATGGCTCAGACCAGGCTAAAGCCCCCTCCCTGACCCTTCTCCCAGCCTGAATTAGGATGAGATAGAGGGAGAAATGGGAGCCAAGAGGCTGAGGGGCAGCTGCAGTCACCTGGGCCCACCCCGGAGGCAGGCACAGGACTCGGGAGGGACGCCGCCAGCTCTCTGGGTGCTGAGTTCACAAGGCTGCGTTCATGACTTTCAATAGACCTGTGATGGTCTGTGCCCAGTGCTGGGGACACAGAAGAGTCAAACCTGGCTTCTGACCTGGACCTGGATCATCATTGTACAGGGAGAACAGTGATCCAGGCTGATGAGGAAAGCATATATATAACATGGGGTCTTAGGAGCAGTGAGGGGCAGAGTGATGGCAAAAGGCCCCGCTATGGAAGCTGAGGACTCTGACACCAGATGGAGGCAGTTGACTGACCTCTGCCCATGGGCTTCTCATACCTAGGGGTGACAAAGGCCATTCTATTTATGCAGAATTTTCCTGTGTGACCAGGCAGCAGAAGTCCAGAGGGGTAGGGGCCACTCAGGGTCACACAAAGCAGCAGTTGCTGAAGACTGGGTGAAGTCCAGGCCTGGGCTCCGCCTGCCCTCCCCCTGACATGGAGCCACCACGAGCCTTTTATGGGCAGGCCTGGCTGCTGAGGGTTGGAATAACGTCTGACTCCACTGTCTCCAGACAGGGGACGGGGATAAAGGGTCAAAGTTCACTATGGCTCTTTGGGGCAATGAAAGGCTATATTCTAGCCTCCTGTCAGAAATCAGCCAAAGTTAAGGAAAGCCTGACTCCCACAGTTATCCTAGAAAGAGCACCCACTTTCCAGCCCAGACAGCTGCACCCCAGCTGGGTCCTGGCAGCCCCAGCTTCAGCCTGGGCGGTATGTTCCAGGGCCCTCGATCATCTGACCCTAATATTACCCCTTCACACCCCCTCCACCTTCTGTGGGAGCCACCCCAAACCTTTGAATGGGGGCAGATCCTGGAGGCTCTGCAATTTTCAGTGTAGACTGCCTGGAGTTCCCCACCTCATCCTCATCTGGTTCACCTGTGGACTCCCACAACAGCAGGTCCAGGAAAGGCGGGGCCTCCAAGGCCGAGGAATAAGGAGGCATGGAAAAGAGTAATGTTTAATTGAGTACCTGATCGCCACCCTGACTCTCAGGGCTGTGAGAGCTGCACCCGCAGCAACCTGGGCACGGAGGCAAAGGGGGCCCACAAGGGAGGGAGGGCACACGGAGTCAGAGGGCAGCAAGGAGGCTGAGGGGCAGTGGGAGTGCCAGGAGCAGGGCCCTCGATGGGGCTGGCAGGGCCAGGGCCTGCCCGCTGAGGCAGTCCCAGATCCAGTTTTGGTAGGAGGCGATGTGTAGGTAGATGGGCGGGGCCTCGCTCTTCTGGCAGCCTGCGCCCCAGCTCACCAATCCCACCAGGTACCACGTGCCCTCCATGGAGCAGACCAAGGGCTCTCCAGTTAGCTCCTGCGGGAAGGGTTGGGGGAGTAAGGGTCAGGGAGGCCAGGTGAGGCCAGAGACATGACCCAGCTCCAGGACAGGCAGGATGTCCTCACACCACACCTCCACAGTCCCCCAGTGCCAACATAGGTGAGAAGTGCTCCAGACCCAGGAGACCTTCCTCAAAGAGTTTCATCCCCTACCTCTTAACACCCACCTTCCAGCTCCCCACGGACCCCCTACTCCTCCCACCTCTAACCGCCGTCCCCGTTCCCAGCCCCCATCTGTTTCCTCCCAGTCTCCCCCCACATCCTCCATCCCCACACCCCTGAGTTCTGCCCATCCCTTTCCCTTCCCTTACCCATCCTCCACCCCTCCCCTCTCCCTCCCCAGATGCCTCTCCCCCAGGTGCCCCTGAAGGCGAGTGAGCGAGGAGAGGCCGCTCACATAGCAGAACTGCTCCCTGCGGGTGTCCTCCGCACATATCATCTGGGACTTGATGATCCGAACCAGACTGGGGATTTTGGTGAAGTTGTGGTAGAAGTTGTCACAATCCTTGTTGTTCAGGATGATAACTTCCTTCTCCTGAATTGTCCGGAACTGAGGCCACATACCTGTGGGACAGGGCCCCGTTTAGGCGCGGCCACTCACTGCTGCCCGCTGCCGCCAGCCTCGCCTCGTCCTCTCTCCACTCTTCCCCAGTCCCACCTTTTCTGCTTTAGCCATGCACCCCCACCCTTGTTCTAGCCCGTACCCATCTAGGGCCCTCAACAGAGTCCCTGGGGCAGGCTGCCTCCAGCTCAGCCTTGCTGGGCCTGCTCTGGCTTCCTGCAGAGCCCAGGCCACTGGGACCCTTCACACTCCCTCCACCACACTCGGCCGCTTGGTTTTTGCCCCTCCTTCCGTCCTGAGGGCCTGCCAAGTCTCTCAGGGACCAAACCTTCCTTCTCTTCAAGCATCCCTTCCTCCACAGGCCTCTTCCCTGCTGAGCCATCCCAGACCCCTCCATGGAGCCCAGGCACTGCTTCCTCCTGCCTCTCTGACTAGTGTGTCCCTGTCCCTGGCTTAAGCTCCTGGGAGACAGGAGACAGGCCACAGCAGGATGACAAAGTCACCCCCAGGTCCTCCCACATGGGCTGAAGTCCCCGTGGGCTGTTTTGAGAGTAAGTTGGTTCCTTGAGGCCACAGGGAAGGACATCTCTCTTATGGGTTGGGGACCCCCTGAAGGAAGTGGACAGTTCTAGGGTCCCCTGGATGTCCCTGAGAGGACACACCTGCTCTCTGGGCCTTGCTCCTCAATTGGGACGACAAGGAGTTGAGGCCCACTGAGGGGAGCGGAAACTATGAGCTCCAGGTGCAGACCGCCCCGAGCCGGCCATGTGAGCCTTCTGGGCAGCATTTTACAGCACGGAAGACTGCTCCCCCCACCTCAGGTACTCTGCTGCAAGCTGCCGATGCCTGGGCAGCAGGTGTGGACTGTGAGGTATTACTTTGTGCCTCTCTGCCTTCAAGGAAGTTCTGTTTACGTGCCCTGGCCTGGCTCAGGATTCAAAGGCAATCACGGTCCCCTGAGGCTAGAGCAACAGTGAGGTGTTCCCTGTGAGATCCTCAAGGGAAGGGAGACCTCAGAGATGAGAGCCTGGCAGGAAGGTCCCGGGAGTGGCGGGCTCCCTGGGGAAGGCACCTCAGAAACTTCCATCTGTGGTGGCACCCTGGCCTGCAACCACGTCCTTTCTCACAGCACCCGCCCTGGTCCGGGGCGGCTTTGACTCACCATCAGCCTTGGAAAGTCCCCAGCCCGTCACAGTGCAGAGGGAATGGTCCTTCACCACATAGTCCGTGCCAGGCAGGCAGATGGGCCGCACGTACTTGCTGTACTTGAGTGCCTGCTTGAGCTTGAGGAGGCCGATGTCGTTGGCGTGGCCCACCCAGGACCAGAACCTCTGGGCCCGGTACTTGCTGTGCACGATGACCTGGAGCACCAGGACGTCGGAGGCGGTCTGCGTCATCTGGTCAATCCATGGACTGCCCACCCTCACTGAGTAGATAACATCACGCCTGGGGGGCCATGAAGGGAGGCCACGATCAGCTCCAGGCCCCCTGCCCCAGCCTCCGGCCCTAGGCCTTCCCCTACTCTGCTGCCCCCCGAGAAGATCCAGGCAGGGCCACCCACCCACTTCAAGCCCCCTGAGCCTACTCCTCACCACAGACGTGAACAGGGCCCTGCACACTCACTGTGTGATCCAGTCCTCACGACCCTTCACTTTATGGAGGGGGAAACTGAGGCTCAGAGAAGCCCAATGAAGCACTCAGGACTGCATAGCTAGGAGGCAGTGGAAGGGATGTGGACCCAGTTTTCTCTGGTTCCAAACTCTACTCTCAGTCTATAGCACGGACTCTTTCACCCCATGCTGTGCCCTGGAGGGGGCAATTCCACTCTTTCCAGCTCCATGGAATGCACCATGGCCTGGCTTTCTAGCTGCGCACCCTTGGGGTACCCCTTGGAGTCCGTATGTTGGCCCTTAGGCCTGGAACACACTTCACTGGTCAGTTCTCACAGCCAGCACTCCTGGCCCCAAAACATGAGAACACGCCCTCTTTTGTCCCCACACCAACCAGGCACCCTTGTGAGTATCTGTCTTCCTTTCTGTCTCCCCCACCAAGCTGGGAGGAATGATCTATCCCTCCTCTGCCCTCAGTGCCCGGGTCAGGGCCTTGCTCAAAGAAGTGTCAGAGACGGTTGATTGAAGGGAAGAAAGAGGATGTGTGTGCAAAGAGGGTGAAATGAAATAACTAGGAGCTTCTTCTCATGGAGAGAAGGCATGAGGCTAGACAAATGGCTTCTGAACTTCCATTTCCCATCTGCGGAATGACTGCACGGGACTGAGAGGCCAGGCGAGGCGAGCAAAGGGTGGGACACTCAAAAGACTGGAGCCCTGAAGGAATTTTCAGGACTTAGCCTCCACCTGTTTGGAGCCCAGGTAAGGCAGGGGCTGGGATTGTGGGGCTCTGCAGAGTGCAGAGCTGCCACTACTGCCACTGCCACCAGAACAGCTGGCAGGGAGGAGGTGACTGGGCCCGCAGCAGCTCCAAATGCCTCTCCACCCACCCCGATTCGACCTCGACTTACCGGGTCAGGCAGTGGGCCACAGTCACCACCCACTGGGAGGCAATGATGGTGCCCGCACAGATGTGTGTGCCATTGGCCTGCACGCTGACCATCCAGGGCCACCGTCGAGCCATGGCTTCTGGGTCCCTGAGGGTGAGGTCCTGCTCGTAGGAAAAGCCACAGGCTGAGGAGGAAGGTGAGAGCTTGATGAGGGATGGATCTTTCCCTGTCCCTCCCCTTCCCCAGCCTGACCCCCTGCCTCTCCAACCACTGGCCTGCACCCATCCAGGGGTGCTCCCTTTTCACCTGTCACCATGGAATGATGCTGTCCACATGTGGACTAGGGTCTCATGCCTCAGAAGGGCCCAAGCACTGCCCAGATATCTCTCTCCCTGTTCCCGCAGCCCGGGCCCTAGAGCATCCCCAGCTGACCAGCCTAGTGCACCACTGGCCCTTCTGCCGTCCCCAACACACTCTTAGCTCTAATCAGATCCTTCACTAACCTGTTCCTATTTCCACCTGGTTCCACCCTCACCATGTCCCTTACTTTAGCCAAAGCAGAGCTCTCTCCCTCCTCTGGGAACCCGTTTCTGTGGTTCAGTGAGAGGAAAGTGGATGCCCCAACAGAAAAATGGGCATAGCCCAAGGAGGAAATCCCAGCAGCCAATGACCACGGAAGCTGCTCCGCCCTTAGTCTGCAAGGAAATGCAGACTGCTTCTCCTTCTTCTTCTTCTTTCCTCTTCTCTCTTCTTTCCTCTTCCTCCTCCTCTGATGAGGTCTTGCTCTGTCACCCAGGCTGGAGTGCAGTGGTATGATCATTGTTCGCTGTAACCTCAAACTCCTAGGCTCAAATGATCTTCCTACCTCAGCCTCCTGAACAGCTGGGACTACAGGCACACACCACCACACCCAGCTAATTTTTTTATTTTTTAATTTTTTGGAGAGATAGAGTCCCACTATGTTGCCCAGGCTGGTCTCAAACTCCTGACCTCAAGTGATCTTACTGCCTCAGCCTCCAAAAGCACTGGGATTACAGGCATGGCCCACTACCTCCAGTCTGGAAATGCAGATTTCAATCACAATGAGATTCTGCTCTGTACCACCTGCCTGGCAAAAACGCAACATCGGTGACAGCGAGGGTCAGTGAGGATTATCACCCAGAACGCCTACCCACGGCAGCGGGAGCGCTCATTGCTGCAGCCGCTTTGGAAAACAGTTTTTCTAGATTGAAGATGCACATATCCAACATCCCAGGAGTCCCACTCCTAGTGTTTTCCAAATGGATTCGTGGATTGTAAACGTAAGTGGGCCGTGACCAGCCTTTTTAAAGGATACCATAGGCAAGAAAATGTCAGCATGCACAGCACAGGGTACCGTAAGTCCTGTTTGGGCGACTTTCTGTGGCAGTTAAATGCTATGTGCTGAGTCCCAAAATAATAAGCCTTTCTTACGTGGGTCTCTGAAAGCCACTGGGCAAGAGAACATCTTAGGTGTGGGCCTTGGAGACACCACAAGAAGGCTCACACAGCCTGGCCCTGAAAGCTGTGCTGGAGATCCTGGAAATCCCTGGCTGGGAGCCTGGGTCAGAGGCATGATGGGTCAGGGCCTGGAGCAGGGTGAGAGGCCACCTGCCCCACAGCCAGCTCAGATGGGGCGGGAACACACAGCGGGCCCCAGGCCCCTCTGAATTTCCAGCCCCCTACCTCAGCAGGAGGGGAGGCCCGTGAGGACAAGACACCCAGAGCTCTGGGCCTCCAGACAGGACCAGGCCTGGCCCACAGGTGTTTAGTGCTCAGCGAACACCTGTAGAAGGAGGCGCTCCTCTATCCTGCTCCCCCCGTCCCCCGTCCCTTCTGCTCCCCTAGCCCCAGTCAAGGTCCTTAAGACTCCTCTGTCACCCTCCTTGCCCCACGGAGTCTACGGTACTCACAGTGGTATGGGTCGACTTTGCCTTCAGAAACTGGGGATTGGGTCGCTATGGTGGTCGAGAGCAGTGTCTGGGTGGTCGAGAGCAGTGTCTGGGTGGTCGAGGGCAGTGTCTGGGTGGTCGAGGGCAGTGTCTGGGTGGTCGGGGCCTGCTGGGGAAGGCGAGGCCAGCCGGAAGGGCAGGTGGCCTTGGGGGCACAGCGGGTGCTCTGGTTGGCGGGATCGGCAGTGGACAGCGCCCCCGGGGCTTCCCCTGCGCCCCAGCAACCTGCGGAGGACGCCGAGAGGATTAGAGGTGGAAGGCGAGGGCCATGTTGGGCGGGTGGGGTAGGCATCGGGAAGGACTCACCCGCAGGCTTCAGCAGCAGCAGCAGCAGGAGGGAACCAGCGCGGGAGGGGGCAGACCTCCGGGGGCGCTGCCCGCAGGCCGGGCTCTGGAACCAGGGACCCATCCCAGGGTAGCAGCCGACTGCGTCTCTCCGGAAGGCACTCCCAGTGCCGCCCCCACGACGGCGCCCCCTGTTGACCGCATGCCGCGGCCTCTGGTGAGCTGGGTAGGGATGCTCCTAGTGCCCCGCCTGCGTGGCGCCCCCCAGGGGCCACCCGCCACGGCGCTCCTGGTGTCTGACCCGCAAGGGCGCCCCTAGTGACAGCCTTCCCTTATGCTTCCCGGGCTGGGTACGCCCCAGCTGACCTCCCTCCTTGGCCCCTCCCTCTCCTCACTCCGGGGGTCCAAGCAGTCTCCTGGAGTCCCTCAACTTAATCTCCGCAGATTCTCAGACCTCCTCACCCCTGCAGCCCATTGCCCTAGACTGGCTCATGGCGTTACCCCTCCCGCAGTGAGATGAAGACCAAACCTCAGGGGCTGGCATCCAGGATCTCCAAGTGACCCTACTTTCCCTCCAGCCCCTCCAGTGGGGCTTTGCCCAAGGAACTGAAATCAAGCAGATAGATGTGTTTTAAATAACGATTCTGAAAGAGTGCTTCATTCTAAGTAACTACACCCCACCCCCACACCATTCAGCAGACGCCCTTGCCCCACAGATCCATCTGCTTAGGAAAGAGCGTAGGCGAAGGGTCCCTCTACAGAGGAACACTGGTGCTTACCATTGCGACACTGTGGGATGAGGAGGTCACTTTGCACGTTACAATTTGGGGAACACACTGATGGTTCAGTGACGCAGGAGGGTAATACATTTAAAAAGTCACGTGGGGGACTCAGAGCTGTTGGAAAATTCTAGCCTTATAGAAGATAAGGTGATCCAGCATTGTAGCATACCCCGGTCCCAGCTATTCTCAGCTACTATTCTCAGGAAGCTGAGGCAGGAGGATTACTTGAGCCCAGGAGTTCGAGTCCAGCCTGGGCAATACAGCACCCCCATCTCTACAAGAAAATAATTTTTTCTAAGATAAGGTGAAAGTTAAATCAGGCCAGGATATTCTAACATGTGTCAGGGCTTGTGGTCTTGGGATACACCCTTGAGCTGGACACTCCATGCTCCAATATCTGAAAAGACAGTAAATCACACCCTTCAGGTGCCCTGAGAGATAGGGGAGGCTGATTGCTCTGCACCTGAGGACCACCAGGTCTGAACAGCCCCCCATTCCTCACACAGGGGCAGGGCTCTGTCCTCAGCCTGGCCACCTCCAGCCAGCCTTGCTCGCACTGCAGAGTCTAATGGAAATCATCAAGGCAGCTCGGGAGCTCAAGGCGCAGTCACCTCACACATTCATCACCCAGGCAGGCACTCTGCCCTGTCCCCATATCACCTACTTCTGTCAGAGAGGGAGGAAGAATTGGTCAGGCTCTGTAGACCCATAGAAGGATATGAGGGGTTAGGAGAGGCTAGTGGGTTCTAGAACATGGTCCATGATTCTGGGTCTGGGTCTGTGATCTGACCATGGTGAGTTACTTGGGAAGAGGCCAGGCCTTGCAGGAAGGCCTGAGGGAAAGTGTCTGTCACATACCCAGGGGAGGGTCATGGGGACCTGGGGATTGCTGGAGTGCTGGGATGACTAAGAAGGGGCTGCAGTCCCACATTTGGAAGAAGAGGGAGGGGAACAGTCTCCCAGGGTCACACAACAAGCACAAGACAGACATGGCATAAAGCTATCAGAGAAGGCTGAGCTTGAGAGAACAGCCAGGACTGCTTGGGGGTTAGGAAGGTTGTGAAGGGCTCTGACTGAAGTCAGGAAGAAAGATGATCACTTGAGTGGCTCAAAGTTCAAAAGCATCTTCATTGAACAACAGAAAGTAACAGTGGCTCTTAGACCCTCCCCCTCACTCTGCCCTGCCATCCTATGCAACCTCTCATTTCCACTTCTGAGGGTAGAACAGAGGGGAGGGAGAAGCAGCCTCCAGGAGGGACTGTCCTTGAAACACTGCTCACAGGAGCCACAGGGAGCCCAAGGAGCCCAGCAGAATGTAGCCAGTGAGGAAAACTGGGCACGGGAAGGCAGGGCCAGCCCTACTGATGAACCTCATGTCAGCGACCTCAGTACTGATCCATTGGGTGAAGTGGGCGGTGCTGGTGTAGATACCTGGGAAGTGGCGCCGGCCACAGCTAAAGCTCCAGCTCACCACTCCTATCTGAATCCAGGTCTTGTTCATTTGGCAGACAAGGGAGCTGCCAGAGTCAACCTGTAGAGAAAAGGAGGAAGGGCATAAGGATGGCAGCAGGAGGGCATCCCTGACCTGAGCCCGCCCTTCAGGATGAGCTCTGTGACACATAAGCTCTGCACCGGACCACACCAGCCTCTGTCTTCATTTTCCTGCTAACTCTGACCCTAACTCCCCATCCCCTCCTCTGCCTTCCCCTTAAATCCTGGTGCGCCTCCAAGGCGTTGCCTTTGGTCTTTTTCTTTCCTGAAATCCTGCTTGCGGAGTGAGCTGTTTGAAATGCAAACCCATTCTCCTCTTTTTGTGCAGACATGGGTTTACAGATAAGAATACTGTTTACAATGACATATATCAAAAGGTCATAGCTGTTATTTCTGCTGATAGTGGGTTTCTTATGGTTTTTTAAAACTTTCTTTACACTCTTCTGTAATGTTGGAAAATTTTATAAATCAGAAAAACCACTCAATTGTATTTATTTTTAAAACGTAATGAACACCAAGATTTACAGGACATAATCTAATGAAGAATGCAAAAGACACTTAAGGGAAAAAGTAACAAACTGGGCCTAAGAACATAAAAAAACCTACATCAGTGTACACATGTACTGTTGTTCAAAGCTGAGACAACTTAAAACAATGTGAAAATGTCAATTCTAAGCATTTGGCTTCCTGCAGTATGGAAGACAAGATACCCTAACCAACTTTATTGCTAAAGATACCTACAAATGTGAGGGGTTTTTTTAAATTATGATTTTAAATGCATGGGTAAGCTAGCAAGAAAATAAAGACTCTTCAGAGTCCAAAACCGAAATGAGGGTTAGAATATAGAGATGTCAGTAGAGCCCAGAAGACAGCTTTTGTCCCAAGGCCCTTTGTCAAACCCAGCAAAACTGAGCTTCAGTTTTCATAGCCTTGTTCATGGGTTCAGGAGACAAAGGACAAAAACCCAGGGCCTAACTAAGGGGAGGAGCCTCAGAGTAGATACCCTACGAAAAGTTATACCTTCAAAAAATGACCACACCCTCAGAGTGAGGGTGAACTGGAAACACTCTCGTATGAACTCACAACATGACTTCACACTGGGTGGTTCAAAAAATCTGAGCCAAGGATGGATGTGGTTTAAAGTGGTGCTAGGATATTCACAATAGCAAAGACATGGAATTAGCCTAAATACCCATCAATGATAGACTGGATAAAGAACATGTGGTACATATACACCATGGAATACTATGCAGCCATAAAAAAAAAGGACACAATCATGTCCTTTGCAGGGAAGTGGTTGGAGCTGGAGGCCATTATCCTTGGCAACCTAACGCAGGAACAGAAAACCAAACACCGCATATTCTCACTTATAAGTGGAGCTAAATGATAACTCATAAACACAAAGAAGGGAACAGACACTGGAGCCTACTTGATGGGGGAGGGTAATAGGAGGGAGAGGATCAAGAAAAACAACTAATAGGTACTAGACTCAAAACTTGGGTGATGAAATAATCTGCACACAAACCCTATGACACAAGTTTACCTGTGTAACAAACCTGCACTTGTACCCCTGAACTTAAAAGTTAAAAATAAGTAAATAAATAAAGTGATGCTGGGTTGGTCATACCTGCAGGCACCTGGCTGAAGCAAATGTGGATTCTGTCTGGAGGAACCTATCTTTCAAGCCACACCTTAGAGTAGTCCTACAATTAACACTCTAAGGAGCATGTCCTCGCTACTCAAAACATTGCACACCACACAAGGAAGTTGAGGCACCATGAGCAAATGTCAGCCAGCAAAATAAATGGGAGCAGGCAGAGCCTTTGAGGCTTGAGATACAGGAATGACCACGGGGATGCTTTAACATGCCTGTGAGGGCACACTTTCTTAGGTTTGCTGGTGGGTACATGGATGTTGCTAATGTTATTCTTTATTCTCCATATATGTTTTATAAATATCCTTTTGTCTATTCAATACAGAGTTAAAGCAATTAAAAATCATAACAATGTCAATTCTCCTTAATCTCTCAAAGCAATTCCAATTAAAAAGCCAGCAGGGTTTTCTCAGGAACTTGACAATCTGATTCTAAAATTGATATTGAAGGATAATAGTCCTTAAATTCTAGGATGGTTTTGAGAAAGGAGAGAAAATTGGAGAGTCAGGTTGGGGGCAGATTTGACCTACCAGATAGTTACACATATTTTAAAGCTATAATTATAGAAATATAATTAAAGATGAGAAAGCTATAATTATAGAAATAGTGGGGTACTGGCATGGAAACAAAAAAATAGCCCAGTGGGGGCGGTGGAGAGCCTGTAACCTGATGCCTACCCAGGAGGACACTTGACACACTTTATACAAAGCATCATGTCTGCAGGAAATGAGGGCTCTGCAGTAGATGGTGGCAACATTGGCTCACCAGAAGGAGAAAGGAAGTTGTATCCTACTGTAACAAAACTTCAGAGGAATTAAAACTCTGAATGTGAAAAGTAAAAATAATAAAGCCAATTAAAACATATAGGACCAGCACAGTGGCTCACACCTGTAATCCCAACACTCTGGGAGGCTAAGGTAGGAGGATCACTCGAGCCCAGGAGTTCAAGACCAGCCTGGTCAACATAGTGAGACTCTGTCTTCACAAAAATAAAATTAGCCAGGCATGGTGGCACATACCTTAGTCCCTGCTACTCTGGAGGCTAAGGCGGGAGGATCGCTTGAGCCCAGGATTTCCAGGCTGTAGTGAGCCATGATCATGCCACTGCCCTCCAGCCTGGACAACAGAGCCAGACCCTGTCTCTAAAATAAAAAATAAAACCAAAACCAAAATGCATATAGGACCATGTTTTTATGACTTGGGATGAAGCATATTTTTAAAAATAAGATTCAAAACCCACAAACCGCTGGGTGCAGTAGCTCACAGGGGTAATCCCACCGCTTTGGGAGGCTGGGGTGGGAGGACTGCTTGAGCCCAGGAGTTCAAGATCAGGCTAGGCAACATAGTGACACCCCATGACTACAAAAAATTTAAAAACTAGCTACTCAAGAGGCTGAGGTAGGAGGATCGCTTGAGCTCAGGTTGAGGCTGCAGTGAACCATATCACGCCACTGCACTCTAGCCTGGGTAACAGAGCAAGACTCTGTCTCAAAAAAAACAAAAAACAAAACTCACAAACCTGAAGAAATGTGTTAGGCTTGATTACACCAAAACTAAGGTTATCTGTTCAGTAAAGGATAGCAAATCTCACTGAAGATTGAGGAATTAAGATAGGGCTCTATCCAAAACCAACCAGAGGTCAATATTGAACATATCTAAGGAACTCTTGAAAATCACAAGCAGAGTGAGTTGCGGGGAGATGTGAGGCTTCCATGGCCTCACCATGGAGATTAGGCCAGGCCAGCTTCCTGATCTCCTGGCAGGGCAGGGAACCCCATCCTCAGGAGCACCAGAGATTGGGGGATGGGGGGCTCCTGAAGTGAAGTTTAAATTTAAATAAAAACTTTTAATGGGACAAGGCATTTCATAACTGAAAGTGACTAAAAATTATGAACTCTGCCCAAAATGACATTTGGGGAAGGAAGGACATAGGATATGTGGGGGCAATTATTTGAAAGAATAAAACCATTTAATGTGAATACCTTAACAAATTCAGATGCCTTAGTAAACAATTACAGGAGGAGATATGCAGCACAATATAATTTATACCAACTAAAACACACACAGCAACACTATGCATTCTTCAAAGACACAGATATCTTTAATTACACTTTATTATGATTATGATTATGATTATTTGAGATAGAGTCTTGCTCTGTCACACAGGCTGGAGTGCAGTGGCATGATCTCGGCTCACTGCAACCTCCACCTCCTGGGTTCAAGTGATTCTCCTGCCTCAGCCTCCCGAGTAACTGGGATTACAGCCACCTGCCACCACGCCCAGCTAATTTTTGTATTTTTAGTAGAGATGGGGTTTTGCCATGTTGGCCAAGCTGGTCTCAAACTCCTGACCTCAGGTGATCCACCCACCTTGGCCTCCCAAAGTGCTGGGATTACAGGTGTGAGCCACCGCGCCTGGCCTAATTACACATATTAGACAGATTTGAATTGATGTTCCTTTGCGGAGGAGGGCAAATGGAAGATGAAGGAGAAAATGAAGCCGGGGATAATCACACCAGCAATGATAGCGTGAGGACCCTTGCCTGAGATAGGACTGATGGGACTGTAGGGGCCCACAGAAAGCAAGAACATGAGAGAAGAAGAGAGAGAGAGATCCACTGTAGGTAAGCATTCTCTCACCTCAGTGAAATAAAACCAGAGTTCAGAAACAAAATGTGAGTCACTCCATCAACAGAAAAAATAACTTTCAAAACGTTAAAGTAAAAACAAAATCTACAATTAGAATGTAGAGTAATGAGAACGTCACGTATTGCACAGGATGTGGGCCTAACCTGCACACAGATTGTCATGGTCTAAAGTACTTTTAATATCAAACAAGAGAGAATAAAAATAAATTATTTGTTATTATCATCAATTATCACTACACATTCAGCTCAAGACACTTGAAAAGCAATTAATAAAGACAAAAAGAAGACAGCTCATGTGTTACAAAGCAGAAAAATCATAGACTTGAGAAATAAAAATCAATAGCTTATTCTTAAAAAACAACAAGGCTGGGCACAGTGGCTCACGTCTGTAATCCCAGCACTTTGGGAGACTTAGGTAGGAGGATTACTTGAGCTCAGGAGTTCCAGACCAGCCTGGGCAAAACAGTGAAATCCTGTCTCTACAAAAAATTTTAAAAACTAGCTGGGCATAGTGGCACACGCCTGTAGTCCCAGCTTCTCAGGAGGCTGAGGCAGAAGGATCGTTTGAGGCCGTGAGTTCAAGGTAACAGTGAGCTACGATCACAGCACTGCACTCTAGCCTGGGCAACAGAGTGAGACCCTGTTTCAAACAAAACAACAATAAGAACAACAAAACAGATAAGCACTTTGTGACTCTTACCAAGAAAAACAGAAAGAGAAGGAAAAATGGAAACACTT